AACCCTACACACAGAACATCATTGAACAGTTTCAGCATGGCCAGTTTGAAGCTTTGGTCCGTGTGTTTCAGCATCTCGTTCAGGATGCTGTCGACACCACAGGCTTTCTTGGGCTCAAGGGCTCCTAATTTATCTTCCAATTCCTTCATTGTTATGGGGAAATCTAAAGGGTTTTGATTTTCTTTAATTGATCTTTCCAAATTGTCTAGTTTATTAGTTATTTCATTTTGTTTATAGTTTTGAATTTGAGTCGGGCTGTATAATTCTTGGAAGTGGTTTTTCCACTTCTCCCCGTCTTGGATTGCCAGAACTTCTTGATTTGGTTTGTATAATAATTTCCATTTATCCCAGAATTTGTGTGAGTTGATAGATTTTTCAATTTCTTCAAACTGGTTTTGCAAAAACTGTGCTTTTTTCCGTCGGAGTGTGGCTTTATATTGTTTTAATGCCTCACAGTAAAGAAGGCGGAGGTCTGAATTATCTGGTTGTCGGTGTTTTTGGTTTGATAAATTTCGGTTTGGTTTGGTTTTTTCTCAGAGCCTTACAGTCCAAATCAAACCATTTGTCTGTATCTAAATATTTTTTCTTTGGTTTAACAATTGACAAATTACTTTTTTGTGCTGTTTTGTAGAATATGTAGTTTAGATCGTGTACTTCCTGATTGATGCCGAATTGATTTTTAGGGTATTCCTGTATTTGGAATGAATGGATGAGGGATTGTATTTCTGGAGATTCAACAGCAGTGCTGTAATTACTGGCACTGTTTTCTGTCCATTTGAAAGACATTAGTTTGCTCATTTGATGTGGGGTCCTAGTTTGTTTGGGTGATGTTTCAGATTGCTTTATATAGAGGATGATTTGGCTGTGGTCTGAGAAAGGTTTTAAGGGTTTGACTGTGAATGCTCTCAAAGAGGAAAGGTCTAGGTCTGTGATGGCATAATCTACAGTGCTGTTCCCAAGAGCTGAGCTGTAGGTGTATCGGCCGAGCGAGTCTCCTCGCAGTCTCCCGTTGACGATGTACAGAGCCAGTCCTCGGCAGAGCTGTAGAAGCTGCCGTCCGTGAGCGTTCACGGTTTGATCGCAGTTTTGTCTGCTGGGGTAAGAAGGGTACAGGTTGTTATTGCCAGTTATGAATCTGGTGCCATGTGATTCAATGAAATCGAATTCTTCTCCTGTTCGAGCATTTAAATCTCCCATAAGAAGCACATTTCCCTGGGCCTGGAAATGGCTGATTTCTCTCTCTATGGTTTGGAAGGTTTCGTCTTGGAAATACGGAGACTCAAGGGGAGGAATGTAAATTGCACAAAGAAAAACAGGCTTAGATGCTGATATCATTCCTTTTTGTATTTTTAGCCACAGGTGGTATTGTTCTCTTTTTATTAATTCTATGGACAGTTCGGATCTGATCCATATGATCATCCCTCCCGAGTCTCTCCCTTGTGTGACTGATGTGAGTTTGACTGATGGTAGTATTATTTCTCTGTATCCTGAGGGACAGCCAGTGAACGCATCTCCTCTACACCAGGTTTCCTGTAAGATGATGACATCTAGGTCTTGAAGTTCTTTCATAAAATCAGAATTTCTACTTTTTAGGCCAAAAACTGAGGAGTTTAGACCTTGAATATTCCATGTTGAAAAACTAAGTGATTGCATCATAACCTTTTAAAATAATGTGTATGGTGTGTTTGCTATTTTGAGAAAAGAGATATTTGCAAAATTACAAAAGGGTAAGTTAAAACAGTGAATGATGGAAGTTATGGTTGGAACTCAAAACATTAACAATTCCATATGAAATGTACATTAATACCACTTTACACTGATTTTTTTTTATTTTTTTTATTTTATTTTTTTACCACTGTCCACTGTGTGTTAGCAGGTGAGAGCAGATGATACTCAGCATGTGTTGGATGTCATGGAGTTCAGTGTTGGCTCGATCTGCTCCTCCGCTGACAGCTTGGGCGTAGCTCGGTCTGCTGGGCTGGGCCGGGCTCTGCTGTGGACGGGCTTCGGCTACTGGAGCTGTGGGGCTGTTGTAGGATGGTCTCGGTCTGTAGGGGTCCTGTCTGGGTGCCGCAGCTCGGTGTGGTGCTCTCGCTGGTGCTCCGCTCGGGGCTCTAGATGAGCTGTGCGTTGGGGTGTAGTTTGCTGGAGTGTGTCTCGGTGGATTGACTGGGTTAGGGCTGGTTCTGCTCCACCTGGGGCTGGTCTGGTTGGTCCTGTTTAGAGTGACATCTTTGAGTCTCTTTGCAAGGATATGTACCAGGTTCTTATAAAGGTGGACATGGTCGTATAGACATTCAGTGTTCAGGTCTGGGTGATGGGCCAGGTGGACGTTGGGCAGGAGGGCACAGTGTCTAGAGATGCTGGAATTTATTTTGTTTATTGTGTTGGGATGGAAATCTCTCCTCTGAAGTAAAGTGGACAGGATGATTTTAGAGTTGGGGAAAGTTATTCTAGCTTTTTCCACAACAGCTCTGAGGGAGTCAGACACTCGGTCCTGCTGGCTCCGCAGGTCGTTGGTGCCCGTGTGGATGATGATGTGGGTGGGTCGGCCTAGCTGTGACACTGTCAGGAGCTCCAGGGCTTTGTCGGTGGTGGGACACCAGAATTTAACAGCTCTGTGTTGGGGGAAAAGCTTCTTTACGTCAATGAATTTGCCGTTTGAGTCGATGAGTAGAGCTATTTCAGGTTCCTCTGTGCTGGTCGGTGCTGTGCTGCTGTGAGACGAGGGCTGATGTTGCTGTGCTGAGGAGTCTGGTTGGGGGGGCTGTGATGGCTGTGAGCGGGCTGGGTCGGGTCTCTCTGTGCTGACAGATGGGTGTTGATTCCCTGTGTGCGGTGACTCTGGGGTGGAGGGCAGTATTTGAGCTTTGTGGGTCTGCTCGGGTTCTGCTCTAGCCAGGAGGAGCTCTCTCAGCTGCTCTCTCAGGGCCTGGATCTCACTGCTCTGCTGCTCTCTCTCCTCCTGTATCTCTCTCAGCTGCTGCCTCATCTCTGCTGTGGATTGTTCTCTGTCCTCTAGTTTTAGTCTCAGTGCGGTCAGCTCACACTGATAGCTGTCCTTCTCTGACTGAAGCTGTCTCATTTGTAGTGTGAGGGCTGATAGTCTCTGTGTTAAGTGCTCTGTGTTCTGCTGGAGTTCAGTATGGGCTGCACATGTGTCTGACTGCTGCTGTCTCAGCACAGTTTCTCTGAGCTGCACCATCTCCATCTCCAGCTTGGTGAAGTGCTCCTGTAGGAGAGGTATAGCTTTGAGCAGGGAGGGTGAGGTGTGCTCAACAGTTTCTGCAGGAGTGGATCTGAGATCTGATGTGCTATTAGGTGGATTCTGATCAGATGGCAAGCTTTCAGATGGTACAGCTTTCTCATGTTTCACAATTTCACTTATTGTTCTGTAGTCCGCCTGAAATGTTTTCAGGTCCCCCTGTATCATGACTGTGCCATTTTTTTTAGATGTTCACAGTTATTGCTGTGCTGTCAGGGTCATTTGGCTCTCTGATTTTGACTTTCCAGCCATTACATATGCCTTCTTTCTTTACAGAGGGGTAATGCTGGATGATGGCTTTATGCCAGGCTCTGGGGTGATCAGAAAAGAAAATGAGGTTGCAGACTTCTCCTGTTTTGAACAGGTCTGCAAACAGAGTCTCAGGGTTGTTTGACAGAAGTTTCTGCTTAAAGATTTTCCTTGCGGTGTCAGATTTCACCTCAGAGGGGTACTGTATGGTGGTGAGGGGGGAGCTCATCTGCATATGGCAGTGGGCTGATTGCAGCTGCTGCTCTGATTGGCTGATTCTCTCTGCCTCAGTTAAATTGATACATTGAGGGCCAGAGTGTGGGTTAGCCATAGCTTTAGCTTTTTTAGCATTTCTAGCTTATTGAAGTATAGAAGATCAATTTTATGCCCTTAAATTTTGGGAAAAATAAGCAAACAAGCTAAGAAAGTGTGTCCAGTTCAGTTTTGGTTGTACTCACTGCTTTTTCCTCTTTGAATAGGTGGTTCTTTTCCAGTTTTAAGCTTTCCCTCCAATTTTCCAGTAGTCCTGTTGCTGCAAGTCTGATCTTCTGATCCTCTGTTTTGATTATTTGTGGTTAAAAGCAAAAATGCTGAATTTTTTAAGTTATTTTCATCAAAATTCACGTCTGTGCATCTTGTTCTTCTAGAATTTGTAGATTTTCTGTACTTTTCTTTTCTCAAAATAGCAAAAAAAGAAGAAAATCTAAGAGCTCATGGAGATCATGGCTTCTCAGACTCTCTCTCTCTCTCTCTCTCTCTCTCTCTCTCTCTCTCACACACACACACTGTTAGAACCATGTGTATTAAATATATATATGTAATACAAATGCCACTTGTGGGAGAAGTGGTACAGGGAATTGGGAGTTTACGTAATTATGGTGTAAGTACAGGTGTTGTGGTCTATGTTATTATGGTTGTTTTTCACAGGTGTGTCTTCAGTGGCTAAGCTCTTTCACCCATGGAAGTCTGCAGTGCGCTTAGACAGCTTCCATTTTATGAGACGCTTTAACTGTGGGCTCACTACAGAACACCACCCTCTCTATGGCACCTTTTGTGCAAAGCTTTCCTCCTGCATTTTTGAATGGGACCAGGAGGATGTGCAACGCCTGAAGGAGGCCAAGAGAGCGGAGTGGAAGAGCAGCCACAGCGGACATGCTCCCACTGAAGAACAGCTCGTGGCCACCATCAGCCCAGGGGAACTGAAAAGAAACTGCAGGAGGAGGACGCGTGGAGTGGAAGAGATACGGAGCATGATTTCAGGGCTGCTGGAATCAGTGTGGAAGCTGACAGACACCACAGGACTGCGTCTAGTGAGCCATGACAACATGCGCCACGTGTGGGAAGTGCAGCAGAAGCACCTGGGGTCCCTCCAAGACCCTCCAGGTGTTGCACTGTACACAAAGGTGGGGACACTCCAGAAGGGTGGCAAAGAGCTGGACATCCTTAGGTGTGGTAGGGGGTCCTCCTCCCTGGAGAGTTTCACCGACATCAGTGTGCTTTTATTCCAGGTACATTTGCATCAAGACATACTGTATTGTATGTATTTTTTAAATGTTATTTTCTGTTATGTGTTGTAATTTTTCAAAATAACACAATTAACACTGTCGGGTATTCATATGTATTCACTTTATAATAATGGTTAATAATAATGAACAAATAAAAACAGAGTATTTTGTTTCTTAGGCTGGCGGTGCAATGCTGTACACATGCAAATGTATATGCTGGAGGGGGCATCAAGATGGAACATGGGCCGGGCCAAGGAGGCAGTAGATGTGGAGGGGGCCTCAAACCTTAGAAGCTTTGATGTTCACTTGATGTCCCAACTTAATAACTTAAGCCAGCGCGTCCATGGTTGTGCTCTGGTGCCAGAGATCACTCTACCCGGAAAATCTACTGGTAAGAGAGATCACAGAGCAACACTGGTTGACCAGAGTATTACATCCCCTCCTCCTCTTTTTCTTAGGCACCCCCACCCCTCAGAGGACATGCATTTCTTGGGTCTGAAGATTGTACTATTCATGTAGGATATGTATGAGTGTATGTATGTATGTCCTTTCTTAATCTTTGTGTTTTATACTGGTTACAGGCGAGCGCATAGCAGTGGAATATTTATTGGCCCAGACCAACAGAGGTGACCTGCTGGCTCCATCGCAGGTCTCTGAAATCCCATCGCAGGTGCTTGAGGAGGAGGATGAGCTAGATGACACCATCAGCACGCTTGACATTGTCTGCCAGTCAGCTGAGATAGGGGCTGGTGATCCCCCAAGTGCTGTGGCGGATGACACTGAACCCGGACCCCTCATCACGGAGGTCAGTAACACTTTCCGTAACACCTTACTCAAAAACACAATATTTCACTGAAGTAAATGTGGTTTCATTTTAATAAGATAAATGAATGTAAAATCAGCATTACTCACATTTTAGAGACAAGAGAGTACATTTATTTGGTTGTTGTTGTTTTTTGTTTGTTTTTTCACTTATCACTTTTCAGACCAGCCAATGTGACTCGAGGGGCGTTGTGGGATGGGAGGCAGTTGATGCCCTTGCAGCCTACCTAGTTGGCTTGAATCGTACCATCACCGCCTTGTCAGCCAAGGAGGAGACGGACATAGTCCACCTGTACACAGCTCTCCATGCCATTGACAAGACACCTTCAAGGTACAAAATAGTAATTAAAATAGTAATTAAACATTCCATGGAATGAATGAAGCATATGGATGTCTCTTTCACCGTTTAGGTACACCCAGAAAGCTAGTGCGTCAGGAGGACCGTGGAAAGCACCCAGGAAGCCGAGTGGCTCTGCTCCCGGACAGCAGGCGGCAGAGAGGTGCTTGACCACAATTTGCTATCATTTTGGTTAAATACAAATAATTGATTAAGAGACAGCACATGTCACTGTGAAACATATTTATTAAGTGAAAATTATTTTATTGCAATGCCTATTGACATTGTATCTTGGTTCTTCATCACTTTACATCCTTGTTCACAGTCCAGATCATATCATCCTTCTCTCCCATAGACTATACATGACTCACGGCCAAGCAGCGCAGGACCCCGAAGTACACAGGGTCAGTGAGTGTGTTTGCCTCAGACTTGCCAAAGAGTTTGAGCAGTCACGCAACAGGCCAAAGGACACAAAGGGGAAAACCATGCCCATCCCTCAGTCCATTGTCAGTGTCTACAGCCACATCAAACAGCTGCTGGAGGACAGCAGGGTTGTCCTGGACCAGACGAACCTGGTTCTGGTGCCGGTTAACAACACCACAGTCTCTTCATGGTGTGTGTTATTTCATTTACCTTTCCCATACAGTCAAGACAGTATATAAAGATTTAACCTCAAGAAACCTTTCCCTTGTTAACCTTAACCTTGTTAGAAAGTATGTAATAACCTTAGAGAGGGAGGATAGGCTTACATGTGTAACCGAATGAAATGAGTAGTGATTGACGTATATGAGCACCTATCAGTAAAGAGTCCCCCCTATTTAAGATCTGGTTGGCTGTGGCCTGGGATGCGTCATGTCCGACTCCTCCCCGTAGCTGTTGTTGACAGTGGACACAGGTATGCGCCATTAGCATGTAGCAAGTTCCGTTTTTTTCTGTATGCGTGGGAGTAATGATTCATTGCTGCTTCCTAGCCTGTCTTTTCTCCTCCTGGTACCCTTGACTTGTTTAAAGTGTATGCTAAGACTGCTAATCTCTCCGGTAAGTGCGAGGCGTTTTTTGAGAACGCAGATTGGTTAGTCCTGTGGGGTCGGGGTTGATATTTTGCGTTGTGTGCAGTATTCCCTGTATCTCCGCTGTATCTCCGCTGAACGGCAATTGCCTGAATACCGCATACCCGTGCTGGTGAAGGGATATTAGAGCTCACTTCCATTTCTTCGGTAAGTTATATAGTTATATGCTGCGAATGTTAGCAAGCGATGTATGCACGTTAGTAATTATTTTTGTGTGTATCTGTCTCAGGATTCTCTCTCTCTCACTCGTGAGTGATCCGTTTCGGCTGTAGTCGCAGTCCTGTTTGTCTTCCCTCCGTCATACTACGAGAACGCTGTATTTTCCAGCTGATCTGGTGGATTGTCGCTGTCTGGTTTCTTTACATCGGTGTTTAGTGTATTTTTGGGTTGCCATTCAATAATTTGTAAGGAGAATATCATTTTGCGGTTGCTCCTTTCAAGTTTGTTTACCTTATTATTGGTATTGAGTTCATTTGTTTTTGTTTATTGTGCCAAAAACTGTTTATTGTTCTGGATTTGATTTGACAGGACTTTATTCCTGCCTGTGCTTGTGATTATACCATAATCAAATTGTGATTTATTGTACTGTTTTGAGATTTGTTTCTTTTTTTGTATTTTCTTTCAGTCGCCAAGGTCCCACTGGTGAAGGGTCTCTTGTGGTGGTGGTGGTGCTCCTTCCACGGTTGCCGTGCAGCACTTTTGAAGTGTTTGGTTGTGTGAGCTGAGAGCACGGTGGTGTGAGTGTGCAAGTGTGCTTTTGACTGACTAGCTTTATGATCACTTCGCCGTGGTGAACCTCGGCCCTGTAAGGTTGCAGTTTTGTTTTTGTTTTTCAGTTGTGTGGTCATTAGTTTTTGTACATTGTGTTATGTCATTTGTTGCCTTTGTTTTTTTGTTTTGTTAAACACTCATGTCAGCCATGACAAAATTATCCATCTGAAGCCATCCTGGTGCAACTGAGGTTATTGTGAATTTCATGCTCTCTTTTAAATAGGATTTTCTAATAATAAAATGTATTTATTTCATGATACCCACGTTTCTGCCTACCTTTTTACGAGAGTCGAACCTGTGTGACCTAAATTTTTAGGGATCATTTATATTTCCCGGGGTGAAATTCCCATGGGTGGCGTGGCGTAGTCTAACTTTGTGTCTGAAATCTATAGCTTACTACTCCGTCACACATGTATAAAATAATTAATGTTTGTCTTGTAGGCTACTAAGGAGGGATAAAAGGAAGGAAGGGACATACTGCTGCAAGGCACTGTACTTCCCAAACAGCTCCACCTGGCCAAGGAGCCTCTCCCTGCAATGAACTCACTTCCAGCTGCCCCTGTGCAACATGCACATGAAGTGATGAGATTTGAGGAGCCTGAAAACCACGAGGGGGAAGCTTTCCCCCGCCAGCGCACTCTAGCAGCAAGTAAGCCTGTGTTCTCTCCGCCATCTCCACCTCCCCAGTTCCCTACACAATTTGGGCCAGCTCCTCCTTTCCAGCAAGCTCCTCCATCCCAGCAAGCTCCTCCGTTGCAGCAAGCTCTTCCATTTGCGTATGCTCCTCCATATCCGTATGCTCCTTGTTATGGAAATTTTTGTACCTAGATCTTAAAAATAATTAAAGTACAATGAAGATCTCGAAAGTCATAAGTACACATGTTTATTTTCTTGCAAGAAAGGCAGTTCCCACACAGACAGGGTCTGATATGAGAAGGGCAAAGAGCTTCCCATTTTACAGAGTTTATATACAAAATATCACCCTCCAAGATGTACCCCCTCCTCTTCGTACACAGTTTCAATTCCCCTTAATCACACATTTCTCGCTCTTTGTCTTGTGCCTAACGCACCCTAAGTTAGTTATTGTCACCAGGCAGAATCTTATGTCCTTTTTACCTGGCCTGGCTGTCCTATTTGCAATTTCCCCGACACAACATTTACTGAAAATGCACATCTATTGTATAAATCATCTCTGTCTAAAACAAGAAAGCATCTATGCTTATAAAACACACAAGCATATGTTCAAAAAGAAAAGATACATAAAAAATAAGATGCAATGAAAGATAATATGATTGGTTCTTCACTTACTGCCTCTTCTGTTACTAGGTAGAGGAAACTTTCTTTAAATGATTACTTCATAGATGTCAGGTTCGAACTTAGTCATCTGTCTGGTTCCATTTCTCATATTTGTTATTTATACACACAATCAGGTGTTTGACACACACACATTCATCTGAAGTACAGAATGCCTTAGTACATTGTCTCAGATACTCAGCTGTTTAAATGAGGTCAAATGTCAAAACATGGTTAGCTTAATATTCAGTTTAAAATTTCCCTTACACTCCACCCCTTTTTCATATCTTGAAAACAAAAACAAAACAGAAATTTTCTTTTATAAAAGTAAGCATAATACAAAAATAAGTAAAAGAATAAATGAAATACACAAATAAGGAAAATAAATAAGTGAAAGAAAACACCATACAATTTGAAAAACCCCAGTAACATAATCGTCTACACAGGTACCTACATCTAGAAGAGCTAGATAACAGTATCCAATCCAATTTTGGGGTAAAGTGATATGCAGTTTGTCCACATACCCACACTGCAACAGCTGTGATGTCATTAAATGAATTCTTTGTTAAAGAGCAATCAATGCTTTTCCCTTCTATTTCACATCCTTTATCAGTCAAATCTACTTCTGTATGACAATAAGATCATCCAATCTTTATCAGTCTTCTCCCGTTTACCTCTTTTCCTACTTTCCTACACATATCTCCAACCTGCGGCTTTACTGCCCATACATTCTTTTTCCCACCTGTGTAATGCTCCATCGGATTTGTACAGCCAGCATCCTCTCCTGCACTACTTCCATTCCTCAATAACTCCATTAGTCTCAATGTCTCCCACATTCCACACGAAATTAACCCCTTTAATTCGTTCAGATGTTGGCTCTTTAACGGATGCGCTTTCCAAGTCCTATCCATCTGCAAACACCACCAACACGATTCTGTTATCCCCAGTGCTTGTCTCTGCAAGACACTCAGCATACAGGCTTTGTTACCTTCACATTGTTTTCTAGCATGCAAAACTGTCCTGTCTTCATAGCTTAGTCCAAATCGAGTTTCTAACCATTGTCGATCTTCCTCATCTTTTTCATTCATCATTGAGTCAAGTTCCTCCCCACTTCCAGGTTGCTCAATCATTGTTATGGTAAATGGGACATATGTACTTTTCCCTGCAGTCCACCATACACAGAAATATGTACCTCCCCAATCACCATCTCCCCAATTCCCTGTAGTCAGAGTGACCTTCAATTTTACATTGTGATTTTCAATCAGTTCCTCAAATTTCATTTTATAAATCATCTGGGGATCACTATGACCATATCTAGAAGTATATTCAGGATCTTCACCTTTCCCTGCATTTTCTAACAGCCCTTTTTTATGGCCTCTTGATTACTCCCATAAGCATCTTTCCAGGCACATGGCTTCTTACAAAAATACAAAGCTTTTCCCCACTCTCTAATAGCGTCTTCTTGTGCATACCCTGATGCTGAGATGGGGTCACATATTATTGTTAGTTTAGATCCTTTCCCTTTTGCCATACTCAATTTGATGCCCTCCTGTCCAAATACCTGGAGGTACCCACTAATTAAAAGGATAACTTTTAGTAACATATTACCACCTTGTATTACCCCTCCAGGCCAAGAAATGTCCTTGTTCAAAATCAAATGTCCCACTCGGTCTATGAATCGAAAGTCTGAGTCCCGGTCGGGTTGTTACGCATAGAATCGTTACCGCTTGTCCTTCACCGTTGAATGAATAAAGTTCCTTAGCGTGTGCTCGTACCACCCCTAATATGCTTGGATAGTTCAAACACAGTTCTTCGTCTTTTGGCCAGTGGCTGTAGTGCTGGATTGAAAAAACCAGCAACTGAACAGCCCCAATCTAATTGCTCTGAATTCTCGAACTCTCTGACTTTGTGCGGGATGGCTCTCCCGTTAATGGCTCCGGCACTTTTCGGCAGTGTGTCCCATGGATCCACGGCACCGTCTCTGCGACCTTCACGGCAGTGTGAGTGACCAGTAGCACCTGGTATGGCCCTTGCCACCTCTTTTGTCTCCAGTGCTTCCTTCGAAAGTCCTTGATGACCACGAAATCACCAGGCCGGATGGAATGCAGTGGTCCGTCTGCCACCTCTGGTACAGCTGCTTTTACCTGTCGAGATATATCACAGAAAACCTTACCCAGCTCAACACAATAATTCAACATATCTTTTTCATACAGAGCAGTGTCAGGCAATGTTCTTTGATCATGTGGCTCCCAGCCCATATGTGGTGGTCTCCCAAAAAGGATAGGGCAGAACTGACTCTCTCTGTGTTTCACAGTATTTTATTTATTTATTTATTTCACTTGGTATCAATTCAATGTAGTCAATTATGACATGACTAAAAGGTTTGTCTGGGCTGGGATGCCCCTCTAGTTTCGTTGCCTGACCTTTACTCACATTGTTCATCATACAAATCATGCATCTGCTGCAATACTCCTTAGCCACTGTGGAAAAACCTTTTGTAAATCAGTTATTTTGCACACATTTCAACATCCCTCCTTTTGACGCATGGTCCAACCCGTGCGTCAATTTCGCAAAAGCTGAAAAGACATGTATTTTGTTAGTGACATCATCTATTAACTCATCTGCTTGTCTGGCTGGTCTTCCCTTACTGATGAGACCTGTGAAATTTCATGTTAAACAGTAACAAGACAATATTTATACATTTGGAACAGAATCAGTTCTGCTCGATGAGATCCATCATGACATCCTGTAAAAGGAAAAAAAGTTAAGTATGGGGAGGACAGAGTAAGATTGCTCTCTGCCTTCCCAAAGTTATACGCTGCGCATGTGTGGCACTGTTTCTTTCTGCCACTACAACAACTCAAACACTCAGGATAGTTAGCCAAAATTTTCCCTGGCCGTTAATTTATTGGCCATATTTTCTTTTCCCCCTGTGGGGTCATATTTTAACCTGTGATCATATTTTAACCTGTGATCATATTTTAACCTGTGATCATATTTTAACCTGTGGGCCCACTTAATAATTTTAGACACAGGTGTTTTGATTGATATTAACTTGTCTTGGTGTCTCTCGCAATACCTTATTTCACACATTCACATTCATACACTTTCACACACCCCCCTCTCTGGCCAGAGAATCATACCTTTTGTCTGCCTTAGCAGTTTATGAACTGAATGGGGAATATATGGGCTATTATGGAGTGGAATACCACCAAATCCGAACGGTAACAACTTTTACGACGGAAGCTACTGAACGTAGACACACTGTGGCATTCCCCTTGCGACAGTGTCTAAACGTTAGGCTATCAATTGTCCGATGCAGTCGCCATGTGGCCAAGTTTACACCTTAAAAACTAGCGGTGTCGAATTTAATCATTTCAACAATGCATTGCTATGCAAATGAGGACAATACAGCATCGGTTCTGTAATAGACCATAACCTATTCTCAACAAAAACATATTCTCAACAAAAAAAAAAAAAAAAACATGATTTTGCCTCTATTAAATCCAGCCCCAGTGTTTTACCTGATTGGTGAGTCAAACTCTCACTATTGCTATTCTGTTTTTTGAACTTCCTGTATTAGAGCAGCTGGACTGGTCCCTATAGACCATTTCACAAGATGTAAACAGCACTGGTCCAGAAGCACTTCCTGTTTCAGTTTTTTAACACTACATAAAAGCTGGGATAAAATACAACCAACAGAACATTTAAAACTGAATCAAAAAGTTAAACAAACATCTTTAAGATGTTTTCTTTACATGTGAAATAAAGAAAACAGTTACAAACTGAAACAGGAAGTGTTTCTGGACCAGTGTTGTTTACATCTTGTGAAATGGTCTATTGGAAGCAGATTCAAAGTGTTAGTTTAAGAAATACAAATTAAGAATTGCTGAAACCAGTGGATAATCAAAAACAATAATCAAGTTAATATGATAATTATCTAAATTTGAAACCGTTCTCTGTAGTGATCAAAAATACAGCACCTGGCAGTGAGTGGATGGAAGTCTTTATTTTCTGTGTGGATTGTCGTTCAGTTGACTTGTTGATGTTTCATCATCAGGCTGCAAATGAGACTCTTGGTCTGGCTTTAATCCACCCTGGCACAAAATTCCATAATGCCTGACAAAAATTGTCTTTAGGAAAAGTCACTGTCACCTCAAGTGAACTGTCCACTTACTCTTTCTGGAGCTGGGGAGCTGAGGGCACCACTTCCTCTTTCTCTATCTCTATCCAACCTTTCAAGGTGTCTGAAACCCTGAACACTCAGAGAACTGCAAAACTCAAATTAAACTCATAGTTTAATAACTAAAAATCTCATCTGGTTATCCACAGCATTTCTTCATTTTATTAAAAAGCGTTCTTCATTGCGGGGAAAAAGCAAGCATTTCTTCTTTGCAAAGACGCAGGAAAAAACTCTAATAATAATACAGTTTTTTAACGTCCCTTCTTTTTCTTTTTTAAGAATCCAAAATAAAATTACTGTAAGATATACTATTTGCTTGTTTAAATCACAATCTATATTTGAACTGGTCACCCAACCTCATTCTCATACTAATGCACATTGCATCTTTGTTAAACATAAACCACTGACTCATAGAATTTCTGCAATGGATGCATTTAATTTCCACACACTGTCTTCCAGGGATAACGGGATACAAATTCTAGACACCTTCAGATAGAAAGTATAATATTTAAACGCATGCAGTTAATATATATTTATATAGTGCTATTTATTCATCACTTTAAGAACACCTTTTACATCTCATATACCTAAATAAATCAAAGTTTAAAACATAAGTTTCTTTATGATTCAAAATTTCCTAATTCCTTCAGAATGTATTTTTTTTATATTATTATGTTTTATAATTTTAACAATTTCTGCCTTTTTTAAGTGATCTATTGATCTTGTTTCAACGTTTCTAATTCTCCCATATTATTCAATCATAATTAAATTATTTCGAACAAAAAGCAAGTTGCAGTATCATTTATCTCTTTATCTTTCTTTATATTCAATCAGAATTAAAGTCTCTTTCAAACAAAAAGCAAGTTTCATTTGGCTACTCCAGCATCTCGGGGTATTTTCCCTCCCAAATCTGATTTCTAGCATGACAAGTTGCTATTTGCAGGAAGCATTGACAGCTTTCTGGAAGCACTCTCAAACACAACAAATAAAATACTCAACAAATATCAATTTGATTGAATTTAACCAAAATCATTGCTCTTAATAGCTAAGTTAAAAACCCAATTTATATCCTAAATCTTTTAAATGTGATCACCAGTTTTCAAAATTTTACTTCACAGAAAAGCCAAATTTCAGTTAAACCTTTTAATTAACTACATTAATTTAGAAGCATTTTTTTTTTAAAGGAAAAGTGCCTTACTTTAGTTCTTTTAGCCCAACTGGAATGTGTCCCTCTGTCAAACAGGGTTCTGCAGTCTGGCAGAGCGAAGACAACGTTGTTCCTCGTCCCCGTCCATCCGACAGAGGGAGATTCCGAGGACTCCTGCAGATGGCTTACACTCAAAACTCCAATTAAACCCGTATTTCTCTATTATTTGTGGTATACTTTGATGCCACCACGTTCCATTTTTCTTAGTCATATAATTATAATTTGCTTTCGAGAAATCCACTGTCTCCAAAGACTCTTTACTATTAGAACTACCCATTTTTGCACTAAACAGCCTTTTCTTCAGGATACGGGAAATACCCTTCTGAAAATGTCCCCCGTGGCTTACACGTCTTAACTGCCAATAGTCGTCACTACCTGGTCTTTCTTTGAGACTTTTCCCCCCGTGGCTTACACGTCTTAACTGCCAATAGTCGTCACTACCTGGTCTTTCTTTGAGACTCCCACGTCTCATCAGCACTTCTGGGAAAATGTGCACGTCTCCCAGCACTTTTGGAATAACTTTTTAGTGCAAAAAAATTTTTGTTTCTCACCGTGCTTTTTGCAGCGTGATTTTACTCGGATCACGTCCACCTAGGCCTCCCGTGGTGTTCACAAATTCTCCCATCCCTCAAAGTTGGGGGTTGGAGCCAGAGACCTTTTTCTTGTCTTTGGGGTGATCAGCCAAATTGATCCTGCCACGGAGGTCGTCAGTGTTGCGATCCCCTTCCTCGTCGCCAAACTGTTATGGAAATTTTTGTACCTAGATCTTAAAAATAATTAAAGTACAATGAAGATCTCGAAAGTCATAAGTACACATGTTTATTTTCTTGCAAGAAAGGCAGTTCCCACACAGACAGGGTCTGATATGAGAAGGGCAAAGAGCTTCCCATTTTACAGAGTTTATATACAAAATATCACCCTCCAAGATGTACCCCCTCCTCTTCGTACACAGTTTCAATTCCCCTTAATCACACATTTCTCGCTCTTTGTCTTGTGCCTAACGCACCCTAAGTTAGTTATTGTCACCAGGCAGAATCTTATGTCCTTTTTACCTGGCCTGGCTGTCCTATTTGCAATTTCCCCGACACAACATTTACTGAAAATGCACATCTATTGTATAAATCATCTCTGTCTAAAACAAGAAAGCATCTATGCTTATAAAACACACAAGCATATGTTCAAAAAGAAAAGATACATAAAAAATAAGATGCAATGAAAGATAATATGATTGGTTCTTCACTTACTGCCTCTTCTGTTACTAGGTAGAGGAAACTTTCTTTAAATGATTACTTCATAGATGTCAGGTTCGAACTTAGTCATCTGTCTGGTTCCATTTCTCATATTTGTTATTTATACACACAATCAGGTGTTTGACACACACACATTCATCTGAAGTACAGAATGCCTTAGTACATTGTCTCAGATACTCAGCTGTTTAAATGAGGTCAAATGTCAAAACATGGTTAGCTTAATATTCAGTTTAAAATTTCCCTTACATCCTCCATATCCGTATGCTCCTCCATATCCATATGCTCCTCCATATGCGCATGCTCCTCCATATTCGCATGCTCCTCCATACCTGCATGCTCCTCCATACCTGCATGCTCCTCCATACCTGCATGCTTCTCCATTGCAGCAAGCTCCTCCAGAGTCCCTTCCATCCCAGCCTAGGCAACATGCCTGGAGGCTGAATAAAGCTGCCCAGGAGGATGAGGAGCTTGTGTCAAGGGGGGAACCGCCACGGAAGAGGCTGACAAAAGAAAACTACCACTACACCTGCAAGGGGTGTGGCCAGAAAAAAAATAAAAGAACTGGACACACCCAGATGAAGGGGCGGTGGTACTGCCCAGTGTGGCGGGGGACACGAGGGCAGTAAGGGGGGTTCCTTAAGAATTATAATTGATAGCATTGCATCATCGAAATTCCGACTACGCCACCCTGGGAATTTCACCCAGAGAATTTAAATCAGCCCCTACAAAAAGGCATACACAAGTTCGTATCACCCAAAAGAGTCAGAGACATTAGTTGTCGTAAAAAAAAATCAGTTTTATTGACAATTCTTAAAAAACGAGCAGTATAAAAAAAAGGATGCTTTGTCCGAATTTAATGAACCCCTAGAGGTTTAGCAGCAGGTCTAGACAGGGATGAGAGACACCGAGGCAGAGAGTCGTAGCGTACCACCGACAAGTGCAGAACCACTGCACTGTGCTCACACACACACACACACACACACACACTCACACACTCACACACACACACACACACACACACACACACACACACCAGTGGTGGTAAGTAACGAAGTAAAAATACTTCGTTACTCTACTTAAGTATTTTTTTGGGGGATCTGTACTTTACTTGAGTATGTTTTTTTTGCATCTACTTTCACTCTTACTCCACTACAATATTAAAGGCAAAATTTACTTTTTACTCCGATACATTTCTCCGTGCCCGCTCCGAGTATTTATTACACTTGGCTTTCCAAACCAATGAAAAACATGGTTTTCTTTTGAAAAAAAAAAAAAAAAAAAACCCGCACGCGCTCGCGCTCTTTGCCAGCACGCTCGCTCTTAGCAGTTCATTTCGTCAGTTCAGTGGAAGATGATGACCGCAGAAACAGTAGCAGCTCTCGCTGTCAGCAGAAATGATCCCAAGATTCCCTACAGAGATCACCCATGGCCATCTCAAGGATATGTTTGAATTCAATGAAGTTTGGAGATTCGTATCGGCTGAAATGTCTTCTTTGCCTGCCACGGCCGTGTTACAGTGCATTATCTGTACCACGCGACGTAGCCTACACATCACACGTGAATGAATAGGTACGGGACACTGCAATTCACCAAAGTTGATTATTTGCATAAGCCTTGCCGGTTAAACATTTAATTCACGTGATGATGCGTTGTTCTAACGTGCGCTTTCCTGAGCGCATACTCGACGCTCGCAGGCACCAGAAGCCTGTCAAACAGCGCCTGAATACTGGACTAAGTTATCTTTCGAGTCTTGTTATGCTAATACTGTTAAATACACACAGCGTTTACTTAAACAGAATTGGCTATGTCGAAAGCAAACATTTGAGAGAAAATCTGGTGTAATATGCGTCTACATTAAACGCGTCGCGTGCTGGTCTAAAAGCGACAGTGGTAAATAGTACTGCAGCTTGTACTTAAAGGGATAGTTCACAAAAAAAAAAACATAAATTTGTCATTAT